CTTGTTCTATACTCTTGCTAAGTATAACATCTTAAAAATATTTCAACGTTTTACAGTTTGACACAATCGACACGTGTACAGGGGCGGACATGTTGGTGTGGGCATGTGCCCCATACTAAATCCTAGAAATATCTTATAAGCTATCACTAGGTTACTAAAAATACAGTTAGCCTTTCAAAAGTTTTTTTAATTGATTTTTTTACTTTAGATCAATTTCATTGTAACTAATTTGTTTTTTAATTTTAATAAAATTGAGCTAATTAAATTATATTTAGTATTTATATCCGCCACTGCACGTATGCATAACAAAAGCTCCAAGACAAGGTGTAACTGCAGGGAAAACAGCCTTTTTCAACCTCAACTATTTGCTGGCGGGTTTTTCCAACCCAAACTATGACTCTCGGTCGATCTCGACCCAAACCCAAAAATAATTTAAAATCGAAACCTGAACTAATGCAAATGAGCCGATTTCAACACGACGCGAAACAATGTTAGTTCGGAAATTAACGATTCTCAAGGCTATTTGATTTTATTTTCAGGATTTGTTGAATGCTGTAAAGAGAGAATTACCCAAGGTTGAGAAACCGTTAACTTCCGAACTAACACTGTTTCGTGTCGTGTTGAAATCGGCTCATTTGCATTAGTTCATGTTTTTATTTTGAATTATTTTTGGGTTTGGATTGAAATCGACTGGGGGTCATAGTTTGGGTTGAAAAAGGCCGTTTTCCCGTGTAACTGCATGTGTAATAATAAATCAAAATAATTTTAACGTGCTATAATTTAAACCTATACGCTAAGAAATCATTCTTTGAAAGAATATTAGTCTAATCACGTGATATGAGCCCTAGCTATAACAGTTTTGAATTTTAGACTTTTTGTCGTCTAATCAAGTTAACCTCCGGTAATGGCAATATAAACCATTTACTAATTACCCTATTCTGGAATACCCAATATTCTTAAAAGAATTAGTTACTCACTAATATCCATGAAACACACAAAGATATATCAATATTCCTTGCATAATTATGTAAGATTAGAAGAAGAAAACCAACAATTAAAAAAAGAAAACAAGTTTAGATTGCATACAAATACTGAAGATTCATACAGATTCCTCAAGGGAAAAAGAGTATTTCAAACTAGCAAAATCTTGGGTGTAACGTTTCTCAAATTGCATAAATAGTAAAGTGGTCTGAATCGGGTCGTCCGCGGTTGAAACTGGATCAGATGTTGGATTCTGGATCATCATGAAGCTTGCAGCAGTGTCGTTAAGGTTCTGCTACCAACCCGCTGCAATCACTGGTTTTCTTCATGTTCCAGGACATCTTAGAGCAGGGTCACCATTCCTTTGCAACATCTCGATGTTACTTTTGGTTCTCACAGCTGAGTCACCATCCCACTGCACCATCCCATTGTGGTCTCCTGTTTGGAGTTTCTTGTTTCTTCTTCATCACTTCAATCTTCTCTCCCATTCTTTACGATTTTGTTTCGCCTCTCTCCACATTAATCTCCAATGGGGTTTATCTTTTATGTTGGTGTGTGTTTTTCTTTAAATTTAGGATTTCTATTTTATTAGGATTGGTGTTACAAAGGTTCTATAAATAGAAACTTTGCTTTGTTGTTGATAATCATTTTTGCTTTTGATAAACCAATAAAAACAACAAAGAGGCAATCTCAAGTACCCGTAAATCCGGGCATCTTTAAGAATTCAACGGCTTTGTGAAAGATTAGTCAATGGATATTCTTAGAATTCAACATTAGTTTTGCTTTATCGATACTTCTGTTACGTCAAAACTCTTATATATAAAACCCTCCAAGTTAATCAATTGACCATCATCGAATTACCCCTAAAAAGGCCCATCAACAAACGCAAAAGGAAAGAAACTATAATCCATAGAAGAAAAATAAAAATCTCTCAATCATGGCAATTCCAAAACCTCACTACTCTTTAGCCATCATTGTTGTTCTTTTTGCGGTTTCGAGTAGCCAAAAAGTCTGCAATCCAGAATGCAAGGCCGAAGAACCCTTCAACTGCGACAAAACTCTTGCATTCAACCGAAATGGATTTCCCAAAAATTTCACTTTTGGTGCAGCCACTTCGGCATACCAGGTTTACACATATCTTGGCTGATGGCTTTTGGGGATTCATTCCAGCTATAACATTTGATAAACCACATGATTTACTTTGTTCAACCAGATTGAAGGTGCAGCACATAGAGCACTTAATGGATGGGACTATTTCACTCATAGATATCCAGGTCATAAACATCATTTGATGTGTTGTTTATTAACATGCATCTTGATGTATGGGATAACGTATATATATATATATAATATATATATATATAAAAGAGCTATTCATGTTAATATTTCGGTTTGTTATATACAGAAAAAGTACCAGATCGCAGTACGGGAGACCTTGCTTGTAATTCGTATGATCTTTATAAGGTGAGAAGCTATCAATGGCGAATGTGTATATATAGTATTTGTTCAAAAAAAAAGTTTAATTTTCATTTAATATATGATTTTTTATATAACAGGATGATGTCAAACTACTAAAAAGAATGAATGTTCAAGCTTACCGATTCTCAATAGCATGGTCAAGGGTCTTACCAAGTAAATATAAAAGCCATAATCTAAAACACATCCTTTTCTTCATGTTTTCATCTAATTATAAATAGAATTTGTAATATTTTAGATTCCATAACTTGAACTTTATGATTATATATTAATCTTAGAGGGAAGATTAATTGGGGGAGTGGACGAGAATGGGATAACATACTACAACAATCTCATTAACGAGTTGAAAGCAAATGGTAAATTCGAAATTCAAGTACTTAATCATACATTTTACATAATTTTATTGTATTTGTCGTATAAACATTTAACTTACGTGAATACAGGCATAGAACCATATGTGACTATATTTCATTGGGATGTTCCCCAGACTTTAGAAGACGAATATGGAGGCTTCTTAAGCCCACGTATAGTGTAAGTGCATTAACGATTTTTATTCTAAGCTTTTTCTTTGGCTTAGGTTATGTAACATCGCATCAGACCTATGTTTGGCTAATATGTACGATACTTGGATAGGGAGGACTTCAAAAATTACGCTGAGCTTCTATTCCAAAGATTCGGAGACAGAGTTAAATTTTGGATCACTTTAAATCAGCCGTTCTCTCTCGCAACCAAAGGTTATGGAGATGGACAGTATCCACCAGGACGGTGCACTGACTGTGAATTTGGAGGAGATTCTGGAACTGAACCTTATATAGTTGGACATCACGAACTTCTAGCACACGCGGAAGCTGTATCTTTATACCGAAAAAGATACCAGGTATATATACCGTAAACTCTCATAATTTCTTTTTGCGTCGATTTTACTTTGTGGTATATTTGTAGTCTATAATCTTGAACTACTTACGCAGAAATTTCAAGGTGGTAAGATAGGAACAACATTGATCGGTAGATGGTTCATCCCACTAAATGAAACTAGCGATCTCGACAAGGCTGCTGCAAAACGAGCATTCGATTTTTCCGTTGGCTGGTATATATGTTCAACTAATGGATTACCAAAACATTATGTATATATAAATCATGCTTTGCAATATTAATTTATCTATATTTTCTTACATATGGAAGGTTCTTGGATCCATTGGTATACGGACAATATCCAAAGATAATGAGAGAGATGCTAGGAGATAGATTACCAAAATTCACGCCAGAAGAATCAGCTTTACTTAAAGGATCACTTGATTTTCTAGGGTTAAACTATTACGTTACAAGATATGCAACCTACACACCTCCTCCGATGCCGACACAACCTAGTGTCCTAACTGATTCAGGAGTTACTATTGGATGTATGTAAATTTTTTGTCTTGGTGTGTTCTTTATATATAAATCATCTAAACTAACCTTTCTATAAATGGTTTCAGTTGAGCGCAATGGAGTTCCTATTGGTATTAAGGCTAGTATCGACTTTAATTTCGAATATTTTTCCCAAATGTGAAATATTTACAACATTGATTTGATTCTTTTTATTTGTCTTCTACAGGCTCCAAGCTTCTCCTACTATCCACCAGGATTCCGTCAGATTCTAAATCACATCAAAAACAACTACAAGAATCCACTAACCTACATCACTGAGAACGGTATGTACATATTATTTTATGTTGCATTCAAATGTTTAACTTTATAACCAATGAAATCTATTTTTTGTTTATTATAAATCTTATGTTAAATTTTCAGGAGTTGCTGATGTTGATTTTGGAAACGTTACAATTGCAAATGCTCTTGCCGATAATGGACGAATTCAATTTCAATGCAGCCATCTTTCTTGTCTCAAATGTGCCATGGAGTGAGTTATCATTTATATTTTATTTAGTTTACTGTCTTCGGAGAATTATAAATTTAAATTCATCAAATCTATTTTTTAAAATATATTATAGGGATGGATGCAACGTAGCAGGATATTTTGCATGGTCGTTGATGGACAATTACGAATTCGGAAATGGTTACACTCTCCGGTTCGGTATGAATTGGGTCAACTTCAGTAATCCTGCTGATCGAAGAGAAAAAGCTTCTGGAAAATGGTTCTCTAGGTTCATTGCAAAATAAGTGGAAGCAATAGATATAAATCAATTACATGTGTTTAAACTTGGATGTAATAATAACTATCTTATATTGACATAATAAAATTCTTTAATTTTTTCTAACCAAGCTTTGAGAAACTGTCATTTCAATTCCCGCTTCGAATTTTAGTGCAAGAAATTTTTGAACTCGAAAAAAAAAAAACTAAATATTTAGCAAAGCATCGTTAATTTATTTTTGGACATCATATATTTTGTTTATTAGTTCCATCATTAATCATGCATTGAATTTTATATCATTAGCATGTTTGCATAACAGAAGATCTAAACCAACGATGTAATCACTAACTCAAGAACAAAGCCAAATCATTCTGTGTTTTTTTTTTTTTTTTTTGCAATCATATAGACGAAATATTTAGATTATCATGTTTATTCTCCAAAAATAACAATGCTGAATCATCAGATGCTGATAATGATACATGTTTATAAATGTTGAAACTATTGTATGTGCAAAACAAATTAAGAAACAAACCGTATACACATATAGATATAGTCTTTAATTAATTGGAGAGGTAAGACCTTCTTGAGAAGAAAGTGAGTGTAGAGGTTGATGTCTCCTTGAAGATAGTGAAGATAGAGATGGAACTTTCTTGAAAGACGGTCTCTTTTTGAGAGTCTTCATCGTTCTCTTTGCTTGTATCGCCTTCAAAGCCGGCTCTGCTCTCTCCTTAAGCTTCAAGACTATGAAGAAGAGAATGCGGTAACACACAAGGATCAACACTATCGCTGATAAGTCCCACCACTTAGAATGTGTGACTTGCACTCCGAATATCTTGTTTATCACTTGCTCTCCTGTCATCTTGGGTTCCCCCGCAAACATCGGGTCGAACTCTAGACCAAGAAAATCGTTCTTGTATGCTCCCTGCGCAGTTTAAAAGAAGAACAGAAACATGTACAACGTGTTAACTTTATAACCTTTATAATAAGTTAAATAGGTATCATGTCCCGGATTCGAACTTGTTTTAGTAATACATATTTTTGGAATTTATGAGCTTTGATACTAAAGATTCACGAACTTCGTATCAAAACTAATTGACAATGAGCAGAATTATTAACTATTCACAATATTTACAAGCTAAACACTTCCATAATTGTATTGAATGGTTCTTGTGAATCAAGCAAAAAGAATACCTGAATTGCCCAAGAACCATAACTCATGAAGGAAATCGGGTAGCGCCAGAAAACCTTTGGAAGATCGGGAAGCAATCGGAAGAATCCAGAAGTCATCATGATGATTCCCTACAAAAAAAAAACAGAATCAAGAACACCACCGTCGAACTCTATTTATAAGTTTATAGGCTAGTGAAGAAGAAATAAAAACAGAGGATCTTGAAATAAGAGTTAGTGTGTTTCTTACAATGATGCCAGCTCCTGTGATTAGACCCATCAAGAAATTTGGAACAAGAGAAGCCACAACCATCATGAGACTCTCAATGACTGAGACAGAGAAGAATATGTTGAGACAGAAGAAAGCCCAATGCGAGACCCCGGGACGGAATTTCACCATGTTGTAAGTAATACTCCCTGTGATGAGGGCAATCGCTACCAAGAACGGGAAAGAAGAGACGTAATTCGATATGATATAAACCGAAACACCGTAGTAACCACTCAATCTCTCTTTATAGAACACTTTCATTTCTTCAATGAAAGAAGGAAACCCTCCAATGGACATGAAAGTCATGAAACCGGTAATGAATCCACCACAAGAAACCCGAGCCAAGATCGATGTGTAGCTATGTCCTACATCGTAAAAGATTGTCCCGACGCAGAATGATACCACAATATAGATAACAATTCTTGACCAATAGTATCCAATATCGCGGGTCATGTTCACAAATGATCTCTTTGTCAAAGTTCTTAGCTGTTTAAACCACGTCGCTTCGCTTCCCTTTCTCACTTCCATCCCATGATGTCCTTCCTGTAGAACCCCGGAAAACAGAACACAGAAATTTTCAATAAACACTTGTCAGGATTCTTGAAAATGGATGGGACTGAGAAGAGTTTGCTTACAATGCTAGCTAATTCACGGATGCGAGATTTTGCAGATTTCGCGTAGATTGAACGACGATAATTCTCAACAAGTCTAGCTTTGATCTCAGATGTTGCTAGATTCATTAAAGGATCTGATGTAGCTGGTGTCTCCTACAATAAAGATTAATTCTTGTGTCAAAAGACTAAGACATTTTTGCAGTGTTCCTCAAAACGTTTTAAAGATTTAAATTTCTCACCCGAATCCTCTGAGATCCTTTGAGTGTAGCTGTAACGGTATCAAAGTCCGAGTTTATACATCTTAGGAAGTGATCAGAAGGATTCCGTTTCTTCGGGCAAGGAAAACCCGCTTCTGCAAAGAACTGCAAACAAAACACACACATAAAAAGTTAGTGATACGAGACTATGGTTAGGTTGATTCTTGATAATCAAGAAAAATCTCAGTTTTACCTCAACAGCAAACTTGGACTCGCCAAAATAAACAGTCTCACCACTAGAGAGCAGAAAAAGATCATCAAAAAGAGCGAAAACTTCGCTACTAGGCTGATGAATCGATGAAACAACGGTTCTACCACCATCTCTAGCGATATTCCTAAGCGCTTGAATCACAAAGAAAGCAGAAGCACTGTCCAAACCACTAGTGGGTTCATCAAGAAACAAGATTTGCGGCCGCGTTAAGATCTCCAACGCAACGCTGACGCGTTTCCTCTCGCCGCCACTCACTCCTCTAGAGTGCCAATTACCTATGACTCTGTCTGCACAATCTTGAAGACCAAGCTCAATTATTGTTCCTTCAACAATGTCATTGACTTCTTCTTTGGTCAAATCACTAGACAGCCTTAGATGAGCTGAGTATGTTATTGTCTCCCTCACCGTTAGTGTTCCCATCAAAATGTCCTCTTGTGTTACATAAGCCTATATTCATAAATAATCATATAACAAAAAAAATTTGAATACAAAAAACTTTAAATTAAATTTGGTTATTACTTTTGATGATTAATTAACGTATACTTACGACGAGGCCGTAGTCTAGTCTTGCCTTCTTTCCGTTCAATAGAAGATTACCGGTCATAATCACGTTTCTTGCGAGTCTACCTATATACATGGATTAATTCTGAACAATTAATCAAAAATTTGATTTATTAAGATCTGATTTATGTGTATAATGAGTGTGACTTAACAACTAGAATTAGCAAAAGGAAAAATGTTATAATACTTATGTATATACCATATCTATAAGAATTCATAAGTTAGATAATTAAAATATGTCCAATTCAGAAAACAAAATAATGAAATAGAACAAATAATAAGACCACAAAAAAAAAGAGAGTGTAAAATTGGTGAACATGTTTATTTACATAATCAAATATTTCTCACTCACACTATTACTAAAAAGAAAACGAACCTGCGAGAGAATCAAGAAGCGTAGACTTGCCGGATCCGGAAGGACCCATAATGGCCATAATCCGACCCGGTTCAGCATGCCCGTTAAGTCCATCGAGCAATCTTCGAGTCGGACCACCACTAAAGTTTGGTATAACCACCGTCAAATCTTCCCACGCCAAGTACGCCCCACGACCAATCTCTGCCGGCGGCGGTGGACGTCGGCCATTGCTCGTACTCTCTAACTCCATTTTTTTTGTTTGATCTTGAAAAAGATCAAAACCTTACTTAGAGAGAGAGAAAGAGAGAGTTTTGTTTGTTGTTCTTCTAGGTTTTTTATTATATTGGTTGGGGAGTGAATTATAAAGATAGAGATTAATCTTTGTAGGCCTATGGTTTTCTTTAGGTGAGAGCAACAATCAACAAACAACTAATTACATTTAATGGATGGCTTTAATATGATAACCATATATAGATACACGTCTATAATATATAGTTTTTTGGCACATTAAATGTAAGAGAATGAGAGTTGTGAAGGAGGTCCAATATTTATACAATTGTCCATGTGTAGTAGTAAGCAACCACCTACTTATTGACATCATATACGTATGAAATACTTTTTTTATGTCGGTTCTTGCCAACTAACAAGAAATTTCGTCCACGGAGAGCAAATGATATTTTTGTAAATGAAATTTAACCGTAAGAATATTTTCTATTAGATGTTTTTCATTTGGTTTTTTTTTTTTTTTTTTTTTTTGGTAAAATTTTTTTTTTTTTTTTTCATTTGGTTTGAAATGAATAGACATATCACACATCAATTAAAAATCCATATTTGGTTGTCTTCTAATTCAAGGGATATTCATAAATGATAATGATAGTTTGACAAATTTTTCGTTTTGTTCACACGTAAAATTATATAAGTATCCATTATTTCTACTAGTTTTTGTAACTATAGCTATAGAAGTGATATTTTGATAATGATAATTAATGAAGAAGATATATAGAATTTAGTTTGAAAAATCGTATTTGGTTGAAAATGTTAAATCAAGAGAATTGATAAGTTTGATGATATAAAGAGGTAGAGAGAAGATCCCAACGAGTCTTCACAGGTGTTAAATGAAAAGGGAAAGGAATTAAATGTGTGGTAGTTGGCACCGATATAGTTATTTGTATTATGGTTCATTATTTCTTTTTGGTCTGTCCATTTATTATCTTCATGATTTTATGCTTATCTTTAGCTTTAGCTTTTGTATATAGCTATGTCTAACCACATTTTTAAGCATTGTTTAGTATTTAACATAACCCTAAGTTATAGATCTATTTCTTTCTATTTATATCTACATAGTTTATTGATTTCTTGGGTTTTTCTGATGAAAAAAAAAATTGATTATAAACAAAGTAGATACATTCACAAATTTTTTGGTATAAAAAGCGGAAAAAAAAAAGATTTCCAGAAAAGAGATAGAAACCCAGATTCTAAACTCAACAGAATCTAAGGTATGGTCTTATAAGCCTTTGTCTCCATACTTATTTACAAGCATACAAAATTTAATAGTAAGACTAAGATGTAAAGTAGTTTATTTTTGTTGGAAGGCATAACATTTTTTTCTTTTGTGACATCAAAAGCAGAACTTATATTAACTGTTCCAACGGTTTCATGTATATGGTTTTATCCATTAAAATAGATGCATAAATATAATGTGGGACTGGCTCGATGCACAAAGTATAGATGATTGATTCGTACAAACGAAATCATGTATCATGTGAGTAGCAAAGCAAGTACAGGCTCTATCTCCAATTATCAACCTTTGATGATTTTTGTTAATTTTAGGATACGAATAGTTACTTCTACAAAAACAAACCATGTAAATGCCATTGATTTAAAAAATTCCGTAAAATGCAACCCAAAACATTGAATAGCTAGTTAATTAAGATCCAAAAGTAATTTACTTATTTACTCGATCAGCCAATACGAATTTTATGTGTATTTGGTTTTCTAGTGTAAGGTCTTTGATTTTCAAATTCGTTCTCACCTAAATAAGAATCAAGAGAATGAAAATTAAAACATCTTCCTCATCCAATCTTTTTTTTTTTTTTACCAAAACAAAGCATTAAAACAGATCTCATGGTGTTTAAACGCAACAATCCCATGCAAAATGCATAAACGATTAACCAACGTAAAATCAGCCAAACCCTACATAACACCAAGAAAAATTGTCCAACACTCGCGCCTTGCATCCGTACCTTACAGATAAGAGAGGGAATCCCAAATACAGAGACATGTGGAGACAACTCTCCACCAAATCATACAATCAGTAACGTCTTCTCGGGCTTCTTGAACGTTGCGACCTCCCAGACCTGCAAAAATCAAATATGATCAATGGATGATGAATGAATAAAAGGAAGGTACATTACTTGAGATGTCACAAGTGATTGATTTATTAGCATAAAGACCGAAAAGTTTGGTATGTGCTTAGGACAATATACTAATTTGTCAGCCCTTCATCTCACCACAAGAGCAACAAGTCGAGGTACTTGGTTATGAGAAGCGAACAGAAAGAGATTAGGATACAAACCTCGAGTTCTTTCTCCTGTAAGATTCAGCACTGGGACCTCTGCTGAAGGCCCAATCAACGCTAACATTCTGTGTTAGAAGCTCAGCACCATTCATTGCTGAAATAGCCTTCTGTGCTTCTTCATACTTCTCATACTCTATCAAAGCATAGCCCTGATCAAGAAGACAAAGCAGAGTGTACAAAATTAATACAGCTTCCATGAGAACTCAAGCAAACTGAAGAAAAATAAAATTTGTTTAGTAAACTCTTATTCTAGAACACAGCTTATCATATTCGGCACTTCATTTCTGACACTTTACAAAACATGGATTAACACATAAAAGTTAAATGGGAGTGTCCTTAGGGGGAAAAACAGCATTGCACTTTAAAGAATATTACATCTTCCGAATCTTTCGTTAAAGCAATGTAAAGTATGTATGTAACATCGCAAAGATTAGCTTATCATTTTTGGCTCTCTATTTTGATATTCAACATTACATTCAGTAACACATAAAGTATGTTAAAGAGGAAAGTCATTGACGACAAAACAGTATTGCACTCATCTCTAAATTACAACATGAGATCAATCCAACAAAGCAAAAAAAAATTAGCTTCACTCCAAACCAAAAGGCATAATGACATCAATTTAACAACACAAAATTTTAACTTCATAAAAGCAAACCAAAAGGCTGTTAAACCATCAAGAGCTACTAAGAAACAAAGGCAAAACTCCATACCTTGACAAAACCAGTACGGCGATCGAGATTGAGATGTAGATTCTTTATCTCCCCAAAATCACCAAAAGCATTGGTTAAATCATCCTCCTGTGCCTCCTCATGAACTCCAGAGACCAAAATAATCCATCCTTCAATAGCTACACATAAACACAAACAACAAGTCATCCAAAACAGTTCCAAACCTTTATTACTTACCATCAAAGACTCTATGACCATCAGTTTTAAATATTTAATCAGTGGTTACAATGGTTCCAAACTAATTCTAACCAATCTAATGAAAAAAAACAAATTCTAGGTCAAATTGAATCCAAGCCTAACCAATCTAATGAAGAAAAACAAATTCTAGGTCAAATTGAATCCAAGCCTCTGAGAAACCCTAGAAAAAATTACTGACACAAATCAATCTACAAGCACACATCACAAACACCTAACTAGAAAACATCGAAAGAGAGAGATATTGAGTGAAATTACATCTCTGTGGACCACGACCGCCATCGGAACCGAGTGATTCGAAATCGCGCGAGGAAAGACGACGCTGACGATCGGAATCTTTCTCCTCGCGAAACCCACGGCCTTTGGTCTTCTTTGCTGATTCGCCATTTGCTCCGGCAATAGCCGACTTAAGCCTCGGATGTCCCGCGCGTGGAGAAACATCAGCTCCGTCAATAGCTGTACCATCTTCGTCCATAAGGTCATCCTCCTCTGGCTCGAAATCGACTGCTTCTGATTCTATGTTCGCCATAACTTCCGCCGCCGTAAGCTTTCCGATAGATCTCTTCCCGTTCCGCCGACTGATTTTGTTTCCTTTGTTTTTGGGGACGGAGCTTTCTTCTATCAAGATATTTCTCTGCCAGTGGTTTATAGGAAAATATTGGGCCTTATATGGGCTTTGTTTGGGCTTTTACGTTAAGTCTAAGTCTTTTGAGTTTTTTTTTGTTTTCCTTTTAAACAGGCTTTGATTAAACTCCTCTCGTCAATGTTATTTGGGCTTGTTTTGGGCTTTAACGTTTTTTTGTAATCTGTCACGCTTCAGTGTTAAGCTAAGCCTTTGATTTGTTTTTTCTTACAAAAACAGGCTTTGATTAAAACTCCTCTTGTTAATGTTACATTATCTCAATTTCATATGTCGAGATTGAATCATTGCATACCTTTTAAAGCATTCACGATGACATGATGTCAAATTAATTTTCTTTTGGCGATCATGTCAAATTATTGTAACACTTAATAATTAGGATACTAATACTATCAATCATATTGTGGTATTTAACACTTTACAGTAGATACTGGTCCATCTCTTTGATGGTGATCATCATCATATCATCCGTTTACATATAATCATTTTAGTCGAATATTTGCTTTCTAATTTCCCCTCTATCTCAAATCAAATAAATCTCGAAAATGAGTAATTTTTCCCCCTCATATTCGACCAAATTTTAAGAATAGCAACATATTTTTTACAAAATACAGAGTTCGGAGAATAAAAAACAATTATAGAGAGCTGCAAAGCATTTAAAGCAAAAGAAATCTTAGTTCGTCGCCAATAATTACTTACGTCATTTAGAGGAAAAATGGGTAGAAAAACCCTCACCTTTCTTAAAAACATGTAAAAAACCCTCAACTTTTTTTGTGGGTTTTTAAACCCTCACCTTTTTATAAATGGTCAAATAAACCCTAATATTGATAAACTCAATTTAAATTTAAACAAATCGTTATATAAAAACATAAATAAATAGAAACAATTTGATTTAGGGTGTTTGTTCTAAAATTCTAATTTAAAATATTTTTCTAAATTGAAAATTTGTAAGACATGATGTAAAAAAGTTAATTAGTGAAGTTTTATTCGATGTGTTACAAAAATTCATCAACTTGAAACCAAACAGATTTTGTTACGAATTATATGTAAATTCTTATATCGAAACCGAATATGAGTTTATATTAATAAAAGTTTATTAGGTTCGATCACACAAATTTACTAACGTGAAACCAAACCAAATTTTATTATACTACGAAAAGTACATGAATTTCTACATCAAAAAATTTTCATTGGACAAACTAAATAAGATTTACTAACAATTAATATATATATATATATATATATATATATATATATTACGATATATTAAAATATAATATAAATTATATTTATTTATTATTGAACTATATTTTTATCCAAAACCTGAACACTCGAATAAAAAAAAATCAAATGTGGTATCCTATAAATTTTTGTAGTTTATATAACATAACTTCAAATTGTAACAAAAATGATTTGCCTAATCTCAACTAAATGGTGAATAAATGTTCATAGCGCAAAAACCCTAATTTTAGAAAAAAAAATCGTAAACTCGAATTTGAAATAAAAAATCATATATGAAATTGTTTTTGTTTCTTATTGTTTTAATATAATGATTTTAAAAAAATTAAATTGAGTTTATCAATATTAGGGTTTATTTGACCATTTATAAAAAGGTGAGGATTTAAAAACCCACAAAAAAAGTTGAGGGTTTTTTACATGTTTTTAAGAAAGGTGAGGGTTTTTTTACCCGTTTTTCCTCATTTAGAGGAGCAGAGAAAGCATTAATTTGGCAAACATTTATTGTCTGGTTCTGTTGACTAAATAATACTGTAGTGTACAAAACTCTGGTCAATTTACAACAACTATTTAACAACACACGTGTCCTAGTAAAGCAATCCCGACCGTGGATATGATATCTAAAGATAGTTTTAACGGCTAGGATCAAGAAAGGAGTAACTGAAGCCCGTACACTCGTTACAGTGGAAAATAAATAAACTCGAGGAAAATTAATGTCATGCGTGAGTTTTGGTGTGACGGGGAAAAGAACAGCTGGTTGACAAAATTTTCTTCTATGGAGATAGGTGATTGTCGTTGATGAGCAAATGAGCCCTACTAAAAATAGTAGACTTCACACCTCACACCATTTTCCCCGTCAAGAGACCGCTTGTCCTGTGTGATACTAGAGGTGAACCAAACTAGACTCTTTTGTACGTAGACATTTTGGAAAAAGAAATTCTTGGTTTTTGTATATACATTGTCTTTCTAAAATAATGAATGGTCAATGTAGATTTGAGAGGATAATTAAAATAATGAATGGTGATTAGCAATGCCAGTGGCGGAGGTAGAATTTAATTTTACCGGGATCAAAATATATCTTGCTTTACATACTATGATGCATTGATGTTGTTGTTACTTTGAACTAGTGTTCTAAATGCCTTGTCGACTTCAAATGGTTAGTTAATGGAAAATCTAAGAAGCGAACCAAAAATTTAGTTACCGGAAACGGGAAAAAGGTGTATTTTAACCGCACAAATTATAAAGTGCGTTTTATATCTCAACAAAGTTACATTATCTTTTTCAACATAATTAAACACTAAAATAATTCAAATAAACTACCTAGACTATTAGATTTGAGTGTAAATCTACATTGATTTAAACAAAATTAGTCAATTGTTTGTTTTCGCTCTCTTAGATGATACGATGGCGACGATATAAACTCAACCAAACGACATCGTTTTGGTCATTTGAATCTATAAATTCAAAAAAACGACGATGTTTGGTTAAGACAAAATGTCGACACTTTGTTGTCACCGTGTTGAGTTTATGGACTCAAATGATCAAAACATCGTTATACTTTGTCACTATCGTGTAATCTAAGTCAATGTAATTTTACGCTCAAATCCAATAGTTTGGATAGCATTTTTTGAATTGTTTTAGAGTTGATGTTGAAAAGACATTGTAACTTTATTGAGGTATAGAAACGTAGTTTGCAATTTGTTCGAGTTGAAATACACCATTTCTCCTACCGTAAAACATTAGTATACAGATCAAATCATAGAGGTATATTACGTATTTATTTTTCTGAGAGACTAAAAATTTATTTCGAACTAATTTGGTTCAATGTATTTTCTACTAAATTTATCCTAACAATTTTTTATTGGCAGATATAAATTGTTTTTTGATAAGCCGAAGAAAATTCTCTAACCAATCCCTTATATATTAATAGAGAAGCACTTTATAAAATAAACCTTAGCTTGACGTGTTATTAACTAAACTGCCATGCTGACATGTCGTTCTCAGAGTGAATTTTCACCCATTTAAATTATTACCCAAATTTTACTAGACTATTTACAGATTTTGCCATTAGTCTTAATACATACATATATCATACAAATAAAAAAAAAACGAAATTATAATTAAAAAGCAAATAATTAGGCAACTGATATCATATTTATATTTAACAACAAATCACGGGATCTTTGTTTATTTATATTAATAATCTATTTTCAATAATTAAAAAGGAAAAAAATTGTGTTTATCTTATATTAATAAATTTTTATATTTATATTTTTCTTTATATACATTTATATAAATCTTCTCTAGCCGATGGGCAAAAAATCTTTTTATTTATATATATATTTATGCTTATATTTAAATGATAAAAGATATACATTTTGTTCAAGAATCTCGAATTCAAAACTACAAAATCTCTAAATCTTTCATAAAATTTTATATATATTGTACTTAAATAAATAAGATAATCTCTTTTCTATACATGTTACGGATACTTAAAATCCGATTTTTTGGAATGTTTCTAACTTTTCGAAGAAAAACATTATAACCACATTTATATATAAACCAAAATCTGGCCACATTATAACCTCTTAATTTTGTCAAACGGTCACATTATAACCATTTCGTAAATAATCCATTCATAATATAAGAATCTTATATTTGGAACACTACAAAATCTTAACTCGGAAACTATCAAATATCATCTTTGCTAAATTTTTGGATTTCTTATACTTCAATAATAATAAAAAAATTATTTTTATACTACAAAATCTCGAAATCTTTAAAACATACGGAAAGACATATTGCCATAAATAGTAATATTTCGTCAATAATTTCTTTATCACGTTGAAGCTTTATTCAAGGTTCAAATATTCCACGGGTAAAACGTATTCTTATATAAATAGTCCCAAGTTTGAATAAAACAAAAAAAAATTATTACATGTTACGTTTTACACAAACGGATCTTGGATCCCGGATAATAATTTTAATCATAATAATTTTACTTGAATCACTTCATCCCGCACATAGTGCGGGTTGTTATCTAGTCAATCTAATAAACATGAAAAAAGAAATGAAAAATTTGAAAAGCTACTTTTTATCCAAGAAAAGGGGAATATAGTGTTGATACCTACTAAAATCCGTTAATACAATCTTTTTAAAATCTGTTAATGCCCTTAATTTACCAAAAAATCAGGCCAAAAAATGATTTCTTTCCACTCTAATCCCGCTCTTTATGAAACTTGAAAAACCCTAAAATCGATAACAGTTTCAAAGGACAATAAAACAAAAAAGTTCGAATTTTTTAAAATTTTTAAAATTTGCTAAAATGCTTTTTACAGAGACAAAATCATACCAAAATTCTAAAAGAAACATACATTTATGATTTAACGCAAACCCAAAAAAGCCTTCGCCTTTTTCTCTTCGTCTTCTTCACCATCTTCTGGGGAAAAACAAAAAAACACAAAACTTTTCCGGCCATGGATCCCGGCGACCCAACTTCGATAATCTTTTCAAAGATTAGAACTTTAGAACCAGAGAACGCTTCCAAAGTCATTGGCTATTTTCTATTGCAAGACATGGAACAGAGAGATTTGATTCGAATTGCTTTTGGTCCTGACTCTCTCATACAAACTTTCTGTCGTAAAGCTAAATCCGATTTAGGTCTTTCCTCCAACGGTTTCTCGAGACCCATCAATATCCATGGCCAGTCATTGTCTCAGTCTTCTCCCAGAAATGGGTTCTTAGAGTTCTCGAGAAACCCTAGCAACCCTTTGTCTCCTTCGTTAACTTCGAACACACTCAGAGATAACCCTAACTTCAATTCTAGTCCCTTTCGTGAAAGTTCATCACTTTTTGCTTCTTCTTCCGGTGGCGATGAACAGCAGCAACAACAATTCAGTAACAACTTTCTGTTCACCAACGACGAGGATCCATTTGCTAATTTCCACAAGAGGAGTTTCTCGGCCAACGATGCTTGTTTTGAATCAGAGGAACCAGGGTTTGGAGGAGGGACCGGTTATAATCGGTTTCCACAAGGCGGTTTAGTTGATGATTTTGGTTCGCCGAGTGAGATGGATTATATGCTAGAGGAGATGATGAGGATGAAGTTAGCTCAGCAAAAGAGAATGGTTGCTGCTCAGTTCATGGCGGCTTGTGGCTCTCCAATGTTGCATAGGTAAGTTTGGGATTTTTTTTTTTGCTTTCTCTGTATATGTTCTGTTAGTAAAGACTTAGACTTTACACAACAAGTGTAGTAGCATTTTAGCTTGAGGCAAGTGTTTTTAGACTTTGGCGTTGGTTTGTTTTCTTGGTTTTGTATAAAGTTTTGAGCTTTTGTGGTTTGGCCTTGCTTATGGTGATTGTTTCTTTGCAGACAAGGATCAGGGCATTTTGGAGAAGAAGGTGGTTATCAATTTAGTCCAGGAAGGCATGAAAGAGAGGATTCAGTCTCTAAACAGATTTACTTGACATTTCCATCTGAAAGCTCCTTCACTGATGAAGACGTCTCAACTTATTTCAGGTAAATCATATATAGATGTGTTGTTATAAAATCGGGTTATCGATGTAAGGAAGGCTCTGTTTAGTGTACATTTGGATTAGGGGGTCATGTTTCTTGTTTGTTTTGACAGTCATGGTTTATTGAATGTGTAGCACTTATGGACCTGTGGAAGATGTGAGGATTCCATATCAGCAGCAACGGATGTTTGGGTTTGTCACTTTTGCTAAGGCTGAAACCGTGAGAACCATATTGGCTCGAGGAAACCCTCATTTCATCTGTGACTCACGTGTGCTTGTTAAACCATACAAGGAGAAAGGAAAAATCCTTCAAAAGTAATGCTTGATCCTTCTTTTTACTTTTTCTCATGTTTTTTTTTCCGTCTTTTGGGCGGTTTCTTATTATAGTTTGGTGAAACAACAGCAGGAGGCAGCAACAGCAACTACACGAGCTGTTGGAGAGAGGGAACTATTCACCTTCTTCAAGTCCTTCTGGAATGGACTCAAGGGATCTATATGAATGTCGCTTAGGTTGGTTTCAATTTGTTAAAGAGACTTCAGAAAACCGAGTTGTTGTTTCTTTGTTACTGACATAGTAACTCCCTAACTCGTCATTCTCTTTTCGTTACCAGGACCAAGGATGTTTTCAAACAAGACACAGGAGATGCTGCGAAGAAAAACCGAGCAAGCTGATTTACAACAAGCCATAGAAGTAGAACTCCAAAGAAGAAGGTTCTTGAATCTGCAATTGCCTGACATGGAGAATGAATCTATTCACCATCACCAGCGTAGTCCTTCTATTGGTTCTCCCGCTCATTTCCCGCCTCGATTCAATCATAGTCTTCTCTTTCAATCAGGAAACAACAACGAAGAAATCATGGAAGGTTGTTATTGTTGTTGTTGTGCTCTCTATGTTCAAGCTTTCTTTTTCCTGGTGTTGAATCATTCTTTTCCTCTCTTGTTTTCATTTGGTCAGGAAATAGTGGTAGAGGTGAGAAAGATATTCAGCAAGTAGCAACCAGCAACGAAGAACGTGGCTACAGTAACGATTTCTACCAAGGGTAAATGAAGTGATAAGAATCAAGGCTTTTAAGTCTTCTTGTTACTGAAATAGGCTACTTTAGTTCTTACAGACAGTTTACTTATCATTTGTATAGGCAAGAGACGAATCTGGAGAATACTCTTCCTGATTGCTTGTTTGGCTCCCCAAAAAAATCCGGCGAAACCTACCAAACCGAGTCTGATACCGAGCAAAATAAGGAAGCCTCATCAGATCAGTTAGCCTAGCAATGGGTATGTTCAAAATCCCTTAGACATTTTACCTCTTAATAGTCATCAAGAACATTGACTCAAGATTTTCCAGGCTCACTATAGGCAGAAAGAAGCAAGTGTATGCGTGAAAGGTAAGCAATCTCCGCCATGGATCAATCTGAAACTCCTAAAACCGTCACGTTTTCTAACTCTCCATTTCGTTTGTTTGTTAATTGCAGAAAGGTGTAGAAGACTGATAAAAGAAGGAAGTAGAAGAGAAGAATTGTCTATATATAGAAAAAGCTAAGAGGTCTTAACATGGAACACAAAAGAGAAGGTTAAAGAGAACAGTTTTAGGATTATAATATCATCTACAATAATAGGATTTTACTACTAATCTCGACAACATATGAATACTCAGATCAACACAGTAACTGAAAACTCACAAGTAGGTTTCTTTTTACCTTATCGGATCCAAGTCCTGGTTTTTGGACAAAGGTTGTATGAAATGCATGTGTTTCTTCTTAAAGCTCTCTTGAAAGGTTGATACTTTAAGTAAAGGTGCACATTTTTAAACTGAAAAAGGCGAAATTTTGAAATAAACCGGATTGAATCATCCATCTGCAATTCTCTTCGGTTTACTTTTGATCGGACCGGTTAAGCATGGTTATTAGTATCAATCTGGTTAAACCAAAATCTATTGTGTATTTAAGAGAACTGAGAAGTTTAATTATTAGTTTCTTTCTAATAATTCGTCTTCTTGATCATCTTCTGAGGAAACAGAAAAAACTTTCCGGCCACCATGGATCCCGGCGACCCAATTGCGACTATCAGTGCAAGGATCAGAACTTTAGAACCAGAGAACGCTTCGAAAATCATTGGCTATTTTCTGTTGCAGGACATTACAAACTCTGATTTGATTCGACTTGCTTTTAGAACTGACAAAGTCCTAAAAAAATTCTGTGAAGAAGCTAAATCCGTTTTGGGTATATTAAACCCTAATGCGAGGCCCTTCAATCCCCTTCACCAGTCATTGTCTCAGTCTTCCCCAAGAAATGAGTTCTTGGACTTCTCCAGAAACCCTAACCCTTTGTCTCCTTCGTTAACTTCGAATACAGTCGGATATAACCCTGACTTTCATCATGAAGGTTCGTCGCAACAACAACAACAACAATGGAGTAACCATTTTCCATTTCCCAATTTGCACCAGAGGAGTTTCTCGGCTAATGAACCCAGTTATCAGTTTCTACCCGGTTTTGGTTCTCCTGGTGGTTTAGGGTCGCCCAGTGAAAGGATATCTCCGAATCAGCAACAAAGAATGATTGCTGCTCATGGCTCACCAATGTCGAACATGTAAGATTTGGATTAATGTTTGCTTGATGCTTTCTCTTGATATGTTTGGTTACTGGTAACGAAAGATGGAGACTTTACAAAAGAAGTGTAGTAGTATTGTAGCTTGAGGCCAGTTTGTTTAACTTGGTGTTGGTTTTTTCTGTTGTTTCTGTATCAAGAAGAAGTTTTGAGCTCTGGGCTTGGTTTTGCTTATGGTGATTCTTCTTTTAGACAAGGATCTGGACAATTTGGAGTACAAGGTGGTTTTGGGTCGCCGATTGAGCAACAAAGAATGATTGCTGCTCAGTTCATGGGGGATTTTGGCTCTCCAATGTCGAACATGTGAGATTTGAATTTTTGTTTGATTTCTCTTGATATATGTTTGGTTACTAGCTAGTAATGTAAGGCAGAGACTTTACGGAACAAATGTAGTAGCATTGTAGCTTGAGGCCAGTTTTTTTTTTAACTTTGGTGTTGGTCTTTTCTGTTGTTTCTGTATCAAGAAGAAGTTTTGAGCTCTGGGCTTGGTTTTGCTTATGGTGATTCTTCTTTTAGACAAGGATCTGGACAATTTGGAGTACAAGGTGGTTTTGGGTCGCCGAGTGAGCAACAAAGAATGATTGCTGCTCAGTTCATGGGGGATTTTGGCTCTCCAATGTCGAACATGTAAGATTTAAATTTTTGTTTGCTTTCTCTTGATATATGTTTGGTTACTAGTAAAGAAAGGCAGAGACTTTACGGAACAAATGTAGTAGCATTGTAGCTTGAGGCCAGTCTTTTTAACTTTGGTGTTGGTTTTTTCTGTTGTTTCTGTATCAAGACGAAGTTTTGAGATCTGGGGCTTGGTTTTGCTTATGGTGATTCTTCTTTTAGACAAGGATCTGGACAATTTGGAGTAGAAGGAAGGCAGGCAAAAAGATATCCAGCCTCTCATCAGATTTACATGACATTTCCATCTGAAAGCTCCTTCACTGATGAAGACGTCAAAACTTATTTCAGGTTAAGCATTTATACATATGTGTTGTGACATCTCTGTTGTTATCTATGTGAGGAAGGCTCTGTTGTTTGTTTTAACAGTCATGGTTTTTTGAATGTGTAGCAATTTTGGACCTGTGAAGGACGTAAGTTTTCCATATCAGGTGCAACGGACGTTTGGATATGTCACTTTCGCTAATGCTGAAACGGTGAGAACCATATTGGCTGGAGTGCGCCTTCATATCATCAGTGGTTCACGTGTGACTGTTAAACCATGCAAGCAGAAAGAAACAATCCCTCAAAAGTAATGCTTGATCCCTCTTTACGGAACAAATGTAGTAGCATTGTAGCTTGAGGCCAGTTTTTTTTTTTTAACTTTGGTGTTGGTCTTTTCTGTTGTTTCTGTATCAAGAAGAAGTTTTGAGCTCTGGGCTTGGTTTTGCTTATGGTGATTCTTCTTTTAGACAAGGATCTGGACAATTTGGAGTACAAGGATGGCAGGGAAAAAGATATCCAGCCTCTCATCAGCTTTACTTGACATTTCCACCTGAAAGCTCCTTCACTGATGAAGACGTCTCAACTTATTTCGGGTAAAACATTTTATACATATGTGTTATCTACGTGAGGAAGGCTCTGTTGTTTGTATTGACAGTCATGGTTTTTTTAATGTGTAGCAATTTTGGACCTGTGGTAGGCATAAGGATTCCAAATCAGGAGCGACGGAGGTTTGGGTTTGTCACTTTCGCTAATGCTGAAACCGTGACAACCGTATTGGCTCAAGGAAACTCTCATCTTATCGGTGAATCAGCTGTGATCGTTAAACCATACCAGCAGAAAGAAACAATCCCTCAAGAGTAATGCTTGATCCCTCTTTTGACTTTTTCTTAGTTTTTTTTCCTTACGTCTCTTGGGGTTCGGTTTCTGATTAGAGTTTGGTGAAACAATAGCAGCGGGCAGCAGCAGCAACTAAACCAGCTGTTGGAGCGAGAGAACCTTTTACATCATCCACGTCTTTCGGGAATGGACCCAAGGGATCAAGATGAAAGTCGCTTTGGTTAGTTTCAATTTGTTAAAAGAGACTTCAGAAAACTGAGTGGTTGTTTTTTTCTTACTGACATAGTAACTCCCTCATTCTCTTCTCGTTACCAGGACCAAGGATGTTTCGAAACAGGACACAGGAGATGCTGCAAAGAAACACCGAGCAAGCTGATTTACAACAAGGCATAGAAGTAGAACACCAAAGAAGAAGGTTCTTCAATCAAGGCTTTTAAGTCTTCTTGTTACTGAACTAGGCTACTTTAGTTCTCACAGACAGTTTATTTATTATTTGTCTAGGCAAGAGAGGAGTCTGGAGAGTACTCGTCCTGATAGTTTGTTTGGTTCCACAAGAAAATCCGGCGAAATCCATCACCAGTATAGTCAGTCTATCGGTTCTCCCGCTAGTTTCCCGCCTCAACAACATTGACCCAAAGATTTTCAGGCTCACTATATGCAGAAAGAAACAAGTATATAAGTGAAAGGTGAGCAATTTCAGACCATGAAAACAACCTGAAACTCCTTTTAAAAATCATTTACCTTCTTTTTTTTGTATTCTAATTCGATTTCGGTTTTTTGTTTGTTACATCTTTTTGATTTGCAGAAAAGAAGGAAGTAGCAGAGAAATTGTCTATACATAGAAAAAGCAAATAGGTTGTGCATAACATGGAACACAGAGAACTCATAATTAAGTAGGTTCCCTTGTGGTAAATTCTTTTTACCTTATCGGATCCAAGTCCTGGTTTTTGGATAAAATGCATCTGTTACTTACCATGACTGTATAAAATGCATATGTTTTTTTCGTTGGTGCTCAAAACTTGTGTGACTAGCCTAAATTTAGTACTCGTAAATTGATCGGCAATAACCCCTTGTGACCGAAACCGAATACAACACCCAAAATCTCGGTTCGGTTCGGTTAATAATCCCAGCCCTAGAAGAAACAGAGCTAAAACAGAGCTGAATAGTCCAACTGAACCAAGTTATGGAAAAAACCGGACCGAATCACCCAAATGCTATTCTCTTCGGTTTACTTTTGACAGGATCGGTTAAGCCATGGTTACCATATAAGGGAGCTGTTCCCATTCCAGCGGCACTATCTCTCTCTGTACCTGCAACATAGTTTTGTGATTTGACATTTCAAATTTCAATTGTTAAGAAAATAAACAAAAACTTGTCCAATTTTATCTTCTAGATCTCGAAAGAAAAACAAAAAGCATTCCTTTTTGCTTTCATCTTCTTCTCCTTGATGTATTCAAGTAAAGAGAGTAGCTTGATGGTGGAAACCCATTTTCTAAAACCCTATGTAACCTCCACTGATGGTGCTGTAGCCGAGCTTCCTCATCACCGTCTCTGTGTTTCTTCATCAGACCTAAAGGAGTCGTTTTCTAGGATTTCTTTCAATGGGTTTTGGTCTGCACATCGCAATTTCAAATCATGGGCTAAAAAAATGGAAGCTTTGCACGAACCCACTTGGAGAAAAGCTGGGATTTTTGAGGCAATCAAGGCATCGATATACAAAATCCCTAAAAATCAGTCTTTGATTCTAGCTCTTGTTGAGAAATGGTGTCCTGAAACCAAATCTTTCGTTTTCCCTTGGGGTGAAGCAACAATTACGCTTGAGGATGTAATGGTTCTTCTAGGGTTTTCTGTTTTGGGTTCTCCTATTTTTGCTCCTTTAGAAAGCTCAGAGATGAGAGATTCCGTAGAGAAACTGGAGAAAGCTAGATTTGAGAATAGAGGCAAGGATGGGCAAGTGAGAAAAAGATTATGGATTTCGAGCTTCTTGGGTAGAGGTGATCAAATGGAGCATGAAGCTTTTCTTGCATTGTGGCTTTCACAATTCGTTTTTCCGGATATGTCTCGTCGTTCTATTTCGAAGAAAGTTCTCCCTATCGCTGTTTGTTTAGCTAGAGGCGAGAGGATTGCTCTTGCTCCTGCCGTTCTATCAAGACTATACAGAGATTTGGGTCAAATTCAAGCTTTTGCTAGAGAAAAATCCACTCAAAATGTTACTCTGAAATCACTGTTTAAGTTAGTCCAAGTTTGGACATGGGAGAGATTCAAGAGTACCAGTCCAAAAGCTAGAGTGATACCAAAAGAGGAACCTAGAATAGCTCGGTGGCACTCACAAACATCTGAGAATGTGAGATTGAATCTTGATGATTTTGATTGGCGTCCTTACACTAAACCTTTAAAGAATTGGAACCCTCCTCGGTTTTACCCTGAAGAAGCTATGTGGATCACTGTTGATGACAATCTTGATGATGAATTTGTTTCGTTTGCTCGATGTATGAGAGTTTGTCAGCTTGTTGGGATTGGTATTGTGGAGGATTACTATCCGAATCGAGTGGCAATGCAGTTCGGGCTGGCTCAAGATCTTCCTGGTTTGGTTACTGATCATAGCAGCTTCACAGAAAAAGAGGCATGGGATGATTACAATAAGACTTTTGATGGTTCAAAGCTATACATACCTTCTCGTCTTGCTACGACTTCTGTTACTGAAAGATATCAAGACTGGTGGTTGAAATCCATTTCAAAGTTTTTGGATTCTTCAGAATCAACTGAAACTTTTAATGCAAGTAATACAGTTGATCATTATGATGATGAGGATGATGAACTACTGCCTTTGGCTCAAGTGCTTCAGAAGTCGGGAGAGAGCTTTCTTAGGAAACTCAAAAGATGTAGGAGGCGTAAGCTAGCGAAAAATCAGCGATTCGAGATAAAGAAAGATAAGATTGGTGATGGTGGTGCATCCGCTTCTACAGAATTACCACTTAGTCAGTTGTTCAAAAAGGAGTCGAAGAACAGAACAAGTGAGCATTTGAAAAACAAGGGACGCAAGCGAGCTCGTGAGGATAATGAAAGTTCTATGGATAACAAAGATGATGAAGAAGATTATAACATTACAATTGCTCAAATGATCAAATCTATAAGGAATGATGAAAGTGGAAGCAAAGCAAAGAAGAGTAGTATGGTTCAAAGACCATCTAATGAAAACAACTCTTCAGATCCTCTAGTTGATTCTAATAGAGGTATAATTGACATTTCCGTGTCACCGCCAAAGACAAGGCAAACATGTGATGATGATCATCATGTAGATAGAAGCAAGAAAGAAGAGTGTTTAGTCCATGAAGATAGAGAAAAGCAGAGAAGCAATGAGAACAACTCTTCAGATCCTCTTGTTGATTCTAAAGGAGGTATAATTGACATTGCCGTGTCACCGCCAAAGACAAGGCGAACATGTGATGATGAGCTTCATGTAGATAGAAGCAAGGAAGAAGAGTGTTTGATCCACGAAGATGGAGAAAAGCAGAGAAGCAATGAGAGTTTGTGTAGTGAGGTTGAGAAAGAAGAAGATATTGATGAAAGATTGAAACAGAGAAAGCTTGCAATAGAAGAGATAGCATTGAAGCTGGAAACACGTGTTATGAAGGTTGAGAAGGGTTTGGCAGTGATTAGAAAATGGAAAACCAGAGGCAACCAGACCAATTATGGAATTTCTGCGTAACTAATTGTGTCTTAACTATCTAATCTGAAACTTTTGAAGAGGATCTCTCAAGGAAACAACACACAACAATGTCACAACTAGTAATCTTTGTATGATGTGTAGAACTTATCAGACGCAACCCAAAGCTTATGTTGTTGTGTAGAAATGTGTTGAATCGGTTCGATTTTGGATTATTATATATGTGTTGGTTTGGTTTGGGTGGACCACTTTTAATTTATGGTTTGGTTCGATTTAATTTATATGGTTTTTATTGGTTTCTCTGACGGTGAAGCAATATCTCGGAGATCAAGATCCGACATTTTTATGTGCTTGAATTCTTCATCAAGCTCGTCTGAAAAACACCAAAAGGTTTCAAATTTATTTGAAATTCGTGAAACCCTGAAAAGGGTTATGTCAAGGTAGAAGAAACAGAAAAGAGATATGGTAAGGAAGCAGAAGTACGGGAAGGTTGTGTTGGTTACTTGCGTCGCGCTTCTAGCTACCGGACTCATTGCAGACTTTCTCTGGGCTACTTCTCATCGATTCTCCTCCGCCGCAACCTACGCCGGATTATCTCTACCTTCTTCCCTTACCACCGCAATCGTTCCCGACCAGGTGAAAACTCCGTTCTTTGTGATCTGTTGTTGATATAATTAGATCTCAACATCTGAATTTAGCTTCAAAATATGATTTTTACTTCAATGTTATACCTAGTTTCAATATGCTTGAGTGTTGAAGTTGCTCTATTTTACTGGTTTTAGGAGAAAGATACAAAGAAGAAGAAGAAGAAGAAGGAGAGTGTGAAGGAAAGGAAACTATCAAACACATTTCAAGATTTGCCTGCTCCTGAATTGAAATGGGAGAAGATGGCAGCTTCACCTGTACCTCGTCTAGACGGGGCTGCAATTCAGATTAGAGATCTTCTTTATGTATTTGCTGGATATGGAACCATTGATCTTGTGCATTCTCATGTCGATATCTACAATTTCACTGCTAACTCGTGGGGAGGAAGATTCGATATGCCTAAAAATATGGCACATTCTCATTTAGGGATGGTAACGGATGGGAGATACATTTATATTGTTACTGGTCAGTTTGGTCCACAATGCAGAGGTCCTACAGCTAAAACATTTGTGCTTGATACCGATACAAATACATGGAAAGACTTTGTTCCTTTGCCAGTTCCTAGGTATTGTGAAACAAGTAGATACAAATTCGGAAACGCCAGTTGACGTGTTCTTGTTTTGGATTATATTATGCTCTGTGTTTCTCTTTCGATGATGGTCAATGTTGACAAGTTTAACATTCAGGTATGCTCCGGCTACTCAGCTTTGGAGAGGAAGACTTCATGTGATGGGTGGAAGCAAGGAGAATCGATTTACTCCAGGACTTGAACATTGGAGCATTGCAGTGAAAGATGGCAAACCTTTAGAAAATGAGTGGAGAAGTGAAATCCCGATCCCTCGCGGAGGACCTCACAGGTTATTATTTTACAATGACATTTTGACAAAGTATTGTGGATAAAACATTCGATGAAATTAAAATCTTAAAGCATTTTGTACTGTCTGCCATTGTAGGGCATGTGTAGTTGTTGATGACCGACTATTTGTAATTGGTGGTCAAGAAGGTGATTTCATGGCTAAACCTGGATCTCCTATCTTCAAATGCTCACGCCGTATGGAGGTATTGGATTAATTCCTTAGACAAGCAAATCAAGCTATTATTCTGTTAATCAAGTTTTATAACATGAGTTCTTCAACTTTGGTTCAGGTGGTATTCAGTGATGTCTACATGTTGGATGAGGAAATGAAATGGAAAGTTATGCCGTCGATGCCAAAACCGGATTCCCATATTGAATTTGCTTGGAAAGTCGTTAATAACTCCATTGTAATTGTTGGAGGCACAACAGAGAAGCATCCTGAAACCAAAAGGATGGTTCTCGTCGGTGAAATCTTCCAGTTCAACTTAAATACACTGGTAAAATCCTAAAGCCTTTTTGCTCAAACCTGTCCAAGATTCGTGTGGTGCTAATGATTTTGCCTGCCTTTACAGAAATGGTATGTGATTGGGAAATTACCATACCGTGTGAAAACAACGCTGGTTGGGTATTGGGATGGACATTTGTACTTCACCTCAGGACAAAGAGACAAAGGTCCAGATGATCCCGCCCCGAGGAAAGTCATCGCAGAGATGTGGAGAACCAAATTGATACTCAACCCATGAGGCAAGCAAATTTGTTTTTGATAGAACGTCATTGTGTAGTGCTAAAATTCACAAAATTCTACATTCTGACTCTAATTCAAACAAGTCCTTACATTACATATTTACATCCACTATCATGGAAATTTGTATATTGTAAACTGAATCAGAATCTATAAGAAAGTTCCTAATTCAACACATATCTGTGTATTCCTCTGTAATCAGAGAATTGGTCATGGTGGATTCCATTTCTGGTTTCTCGATATGATTTACACAAAACTGCTAATTTACAAAAGAAGGAACCACCACTATTACATGCTTTTTCCAGGTCTTTGTTGATGGTCTAGGTCAGAGAAGCCAAGAACAAGCTCCACCATGAAAAGCTCTCCGTCAAACCTTAGACCAGACGATGCTGCAGGCTGAAGAAGACCATCAACCATTCCGCCAAACACATATACAAATCTCCCTGAACAATCAGCACAGGCGCGGTGAAAGGACCGACTTTTTGGTCCATATGAGATTCGATCAAGCTTTTTCCACACTGATGATCCGTTCAAGCTAAGCCCTTGTGGTTTCAAACCTGAAGAAGGAATGGTTTTAACATCCAACACCCAAAAATCATCTTTCCTGTGCCTATAAGAATCTTCACCTCCATAAATCAAGATTCGACCTCCCAATACAAGAGTCGCCGAGTGACCAACCCGAGGCAACGATGCGTGTTCAGGAACATCCTGGAAATTGTAGAATATCTGTATCCATTTTTCTTCACACTGTTCTTGAATATCCAAGATCCAAACATCATCAAGCACATCATATCCTAATCCTCTGCCTCCAAATAGAACCACTTGGTTTTCTCTAATGCAGGTCAAAGTATGTCCTGAGCGCGGTGGCGGTGTTTGTTGAGATTCCACCATGTGCCATGTCCCCGATGTGAAATCTTCAGAAAGTTCTAGAATCCATGTATCTCCAAGCCTGACTCCATTCAGCCCGATTCCTCCATGTACAACCATCTTCTTCTCTGCAATACAGCAGGCAGAATGAGCACCACGAGGAGGAGGACGAGGCCGCTCCAAAGACCCAACATTGAGGAGTTTCCAAGTGAGTCCCTCATGGCAAAAGACTTGACCGATCCATGTATCATTTAACCGCTCTCCACGGTCATTTATTCCTCCAAATAAGAGTAGATACTCTCCTATAACGATGCAGGTGTGTCCGAATCTCCCACTCGGAGTCCCTGATTCTACTTTCTTCCATTTCAATATGCTTTGATTGCTCTTATCAACATATGATGTCCATGTATCATCAAGATGGCGTCCTGAAAATTAACAAAGCAATATACACAAAGATCTCAACTTGAATAAGGCAATGCCCTAATAATCCAACTAGCAAAACAAATGGTCGTGTGTTCAACACACTTATCAAGCGAACGAGAAGTAACCGAAAACTCGAGTCGATCACATCGAAAATCAATCTGCTTTCAACAAATTAAGAATAGAGAAGATAATTGAGCTAAATCAAAGCTAACCTCCTTGACAACCACCACCAAAGAGAACAAGATGATCATTAACAAAGTTGAGAGAATGAGAAGCTCTAGGGATCGGAAACGAAGAAGATTCCACATCATCATCATCTGGGTCAGAGATCTTGTGACAGCAAACAGAATCCATCTTATAAACTCTCTGAAACATCAACATCCATGAAAACCCATCTCGTAAAGATGACAACTTTAAAGCATCCACAGAAGTTGGTCCCCATTCTCGTTCACACAGAGCTTCCCAGAGACTATCGGAGTAAGCTAGAGACTTGTATCTCTTACAGGTCATTGAGAAAGAGAGGATTGAATCTACGGGAAGAAGAAGCAAGATGGTTAAGAGATGGTCATCGGGTAAGTTGATTATAGGACTCGACTGAGAAGTAGACGGCGGAGATGAGTTTCTGGTTGATTCCGCCGCCATGAGAGGAAATCGGAGAAGGATTTGATTCTTGGTGAGAAGAAATTATTGGGAATGATGATTGTTGTCTCGTCACTGTCTCGTTCGTTACTATACGGTAAAAATAAAAATCCTTCCTTTTTTGTTTTTTTCTTTGCGACTTCGGGTAAAAATTGCCCGCACAAAATTTCAAACTTTTTTAAACTTCGGAAATGACCCGATAGTTTTCAGAATCTCATTTTTCGACTACTATATTTCAATAAATTGCACTATTCTCACCTGTCGCAATCTTTAACGCCCCGATATTTATGAGAACTTTTGTTTCGAGCCTTATATTCTAATAAATTGCATCTTTCTCCTAGTGTTTCACAAATCACAAAACTTTTCGATATTTCGAAAACGCCCCTAAGTTTTTGAGAATCTCCTTTTCCTCCAGTGTCAAATATTTCAAACTTTTTTAGAAACTTTGTAATCGCCCCAATATTTATGAGAGCCTCTGTTTCTAGCCCTACATTTCAATAACTGCACTTCTTCTCCTGATGATATTTTTTTTTCCATTATTTTATTGCATACACTACTTCTTATCACAGTCTAGATTCCATTGAATCAACGAGAAAGCTTAATTGAGATTGCATGTTGCTATCTTCGACAAAGATTTGTGTCATTTCTACAAATCCATGAAACCTTTGGGTCATTTCTGCAGATTGTGCAACTTGCCCTTCTCTATCACTTTCCACAGTGCAGATTTGGCTTCTTCTAAAGTCTCAACACCATGACTTTCCTCAAAGGCTAGCCTTTGTATGTTAAACTACACAAATCACAAATTGAATACACAAAAACAAACTCAGAGAGAGATTCTGTTGTCGAGTCATTGTAGAAATGTTCTTAATTTGTTACATATATTATTACCTGAGCACCTTGACGAACTCTTATATCGATCCCTTTGCTATCTATAGAAATGATAGCAGCATCGTCGACTTCGGCTTCACTAGACAATAACTCTCTAAGGGGCTTTGAGAAGATTGCATTGAGTTCCTATCATAATTTAGAATGAAATTAAAACTCTACTTTAAATCAGTGAGCAGGCACAATCATTTGAAGGGTTTAAGAAAAAACTTACCTTTAGATTTTGCTCACCTCCATCAACAGCTATCTTATCTGGCTGAAGAGTTTCGTACTCATTGACGTTGATCCACGCGACAGTGCCAAAACCTCCAATGAAATATATATCACTGAGAACAAATCGAGATTGCTATTATTTTCCGATTAGTACACTATGGAATGGCTAAAATTGAACAAGAACACAAAAACCTTATGTTCTGCATTCTAAAATAGTGAAAGTTTCCCCATTGTTGGGAAGGTCCTTGGTGATGCTTCAACATATACTGCTTATGGGCCCATTCCTAGAAATCCAGAACAAGAGAAATCATGAACCAGAAACAGAAATAAGGGTGTTGAACAGGTCATGTATTACTCACTTGCTGATCCTCTGGCAATGGGTAGACATCGCCGAATAATGTTACTCTTGCATTCGATAAGCAACTCCATCCGGGTATCTGAAAATACCAAATCCGCAGTCAGAGAACACAAAAAGGGAATAAAACACCAATATTTTTGTATAGTTCAAGCATGACTGATAATCTTGTACCTGAACAACTAGGGTGCATCTAGGTTCAGCTAAGATATTCCGAGTGTGAATAGCCAATGGTGAAAATGATAATATTGGGTCTAGAAACACAAAGAAGTAGAAACCGCCGTCAAACACATAAACTAATCATACAAAGAGACAAAATCAAGAGAAAGACTTACGCCCCATCGGATCAGGTGCAAAATCTACCAAAGAGCCAAACGGATAGCCTTCTCTACGATGGTGCATTTTAGACATCACTGTGCATAGATGAGCAAACCTGGCCTTGAAACCATAAACAGTAACATCAAAACCCAAACAGATACAAGAAATTTAACATCTTTCCTCATCAAGAATCGTAAAAGGAAAAAAATTGAAATGATCTTTTTACCTGCTCCATCAAGTTCCTAACAGCTAAAGCCGGTCGAGGTAAACCATGAGCAGAGGTTGCGCTTTGAACACCACCAGAAATCGGAGTTCTAAAGAGCCCAGCCCGTGTTCCTCCACCATGAGGAACCGCAAGAGATGTCTCTACATCGATTATATTATCACTATCCTTTTCACCACTTAGATTACTTTCAAACTTTTCCTTTACAGACACAAAAAGACCCAAATCAATCTTATGCACAAGTTTAAGTTTTGCATCAATCAAGAGCTCAATATTTCACAACATTTTGCATACAACACCATAAAGCTAGTGTCTTTAACTGAAACCCACATACAATCAGACAAGAACACAATCCTATTATTCAAATTCACAGGTCTTAAAAGCAACTTAATAACCTCATTTACCTGAGACAAAGAGAAAATATCCGCAGGTAACAAACCAAACCCATTCTTATCTTCGCTTTCACTTGATGCCTCCTCGTTATGAAACAGAGCATGTACACGAAGAAGCCCTTGATTCAATCCCTCCCTAAGCCTCAGTTTAATGATTCGCTTGGCTTGCGAATTGCAGAGCCAACAAGAAGACGAAGATAGAGCAGGTGGATTCGTGTTGAAGAAAGCCTTCGTCTTTGGTAAATTGGAAACGTTTAGTGAAGTAAAGATAGCAGCTTCCATGGTAGAGAAACAAGATCGCTTGAAAAATCCCAACTTTCTTTTTAAAACCAAAAAAAAAATCCCAACTTTATTAGATTCCCCTGCAAAAATTGTCTGAATGATTAACACAGGCTTCAACATTTTGTTTTTCGGTTTGGTTTGAGAAATTTGGGTACATTAAACCGAAATTAATTTGGTTTGGTTCGGTTTACTGATATTTTAGTTCATCATGGCATCTACTTGTTTCTTCGAGTCGATCGCTGCGAAGCTAGAAACCAAACATAAACTTATCTTACAACTTTCAAAACAAAGTTTTAATAAGGACTTAAACAAAATAATAATGTCAAACAGAAGAAAACATGATCATCCAACATCACAAAGAAGAGGTAGTGAGTGACTTAAAACGATAACAAACTAAAAGAGAGGAGTCTTTCTTGAAATGGAGA